AAACAGCGGAAAATCTCTTCTCCACGAGTCTTGAAATTTATAGGATTTTTGAGATACGGCACGGATTCTCGGAATTTATAGATTCGTCGAAATGTCATTGTCGAGTGCAAAGTGATTTATAAAAATATACAAACAATTTATGACTGCCTTTATATATCTCGCCAAAGAGCCGATTGCTCCAATTTCCAAGTGTATATCGTCGAGAGACACGTTTTCGTTGCGAAAAGTACGGTCCAGTCGTTTCGCGAGCTGTTTATAGCTGCATTTCCGCCGCGTGACTTTATCCATCCCCTCGGTGGATTTTCCGCGCCCGCGGATCCGTTGTTCCCGCTTAAACCTCTACGCGACGAGCATTAGCCAAAGCCGCACGCTTACGCGGGGGAGGGGAGAAAGCCTAAAGCCCCGCAAGCATAGTTATGCCTCGTTACATCTCGCCCCCATCTATACGCGCGTCTCCGCCCCGACCCTCTACGACGACGCGAGATGCCGAGCAACGGTATGCGAATATCGCGACGAGGTAAAGCAAAAAGGAATAAATAAATGAATTTACCGCTACGGAGAGACAAGGGAAGACCCCGTTTTCCGTTTTCGCTAAAAGACTGCCGAAAAAGACGAATGCATCTTGGACCGAAGAATGTCTCGACGAGTCTCTCTCTCTCTCTCTCTCTCTCTCTCTCTCTCTCTCGTTCGCTCTCGTGTAACGCGATCGCATTAAGACGAACCATCTCGCACATACATATATACACCCGATACGTTCGATACGAAACTCCCTACGACGCGACGCGACGCGACGCGACGCGACGCGACGCGACGCGACGTCCCTTTCATCGCTCTTCAATCTCAACCGTTAATGCATCCAACCGGCTATGATAGGGCGAAACGGGACTCGTGCGCTCCCCGGGCGAAATTTCTCTCTCGTTACACAATGGGAAGCCTCGCGTTACAAGTGCAAACGGGAGTCGGCGATGCTTGGAATAGCGATGCGCGGAAGCTTCCTCTCGGAGGGAGGGGTCCAAGTACAAATGGGAATGTACGAAAAGTACTTTTGGAACGTAGACGCCCTTTCGCTTTTCAATTTTCGAGTTTCGAGTAAGGAAGAAAAATTCTCGAAATACTGCTGTATCGCGTCATTAAAATCTCCATCGGATCATTATATCATCAACCGATTCAATTTATTCAAAAATATTAGTTATGTTACATGTACAAATTATGTTTCGTATTAATACGATTGGCGCGACTAAAAAGGTGACGATTCTCTCTCCTCTCTATGAGAAAATACGTCACAAATTTTCGATATTTCCATTTGTTTCATTTCGAGATTTGAGAAAGATTGAATTTAAAAAATTTATAGAGAACGTACATGTATAAGTTTCTTTCGAATGACCTATAACAATCTTGCACGATTGTCGTTAAACTCGTCTCAACAGCGATTATCGATGCGTAATCAATTTACGGCGCATCACATTTTAAATAATTTTAATTAAAATTTACAATTTCTTTTAAAACGATTGAATTTAAAATAATTTAAACTACTGGACGCGCATCGAGAGTATCTAGATAAATGTTTTACTTCAATAGTTCAAATGTTGCATCTCATCTTTGCGTACATATCATAACAGTTATTGTCGCGAGATGTAATAAATGTAATAAATTTGATAATGAGATAATGAAATACAAGATTGTAAGATTAGTCGAGTTGAAGAAAGCGTAATACCAATTCCCCCCCAATCATGAAAGATGATTTTTCCGAAAACGAAGCGCGAAAAGCGTTCAATTTCCCTCCTCTCCTTTAATCATTATCCTTCCGATTAGGTTTCTTCCGACGATAAATAACGATTAATAATCATTCCATGACTCTACGATGGATTCAACATTTCGAAAGTAAATCGAGAATCTCAAGTTGTAATAACGGTCTGGATATTTTCGCATTTTCTTCCAAGTTTTAATCCGCAAAATTTAAAATTTGTGGTTTTTTAAATCCTTGTACCGTTGAAAAATCCGGGCTTATTGCAGTCTCTCGTTCCAATCCCTTCGTCCTAAACAGACTACTTCTCCCCCGCGCCGACGGTGCATTTGGACGAATTTAAAACGCCAAATCCACGCGGCGGATCGAGAGGGTGTAATAAGCAGCGTCGGAAAAACGTCGGAGGTGCGTTGAATCAAACGGAACGTACGATTTCGCGGGGGTTCGTTTCAGAGTTGCGGACGCTAATATTGAATCAACGGAAAGTAAACAGAGGTTGTTTTCGATTTCGTCGAGGTTACCGAATCGGGCGCACAATTGGACACGATATATTTACGGCCGATTTACACACACACACACAAATTCGATTTTCCCGAATATATTATACTTCATTCAATCGTATATACATGTGGGATTCACATATTGAGAGAATAAAAATAATACTAATTAAATTATTATAAAAATCTATTAAAATGCATTAAATTATTAAATTGTACAGTGAGACGATCAAGTAGTAATGTAACTCGATTATTTCAACAATTAATAAATTGCTAAACTCGGACAAATTACTCGCAGAGTAATCGGAATGATAATGGATAATTTTGTAGCAGGTGGAAGAATATCGTTGACCCGACGCGCAATAAAATATATAATATTTCTCTCTTGTCTTCCGCCGCGATTTCTGCGAAATATTATTATAGCGAATTATTA